GTTTTCACTACTGTACACTTGAACTGCACATGCAAGAAAAAGGTGGAATGTCTAAACACCATAATCAGCTCAGGGTATTTGCCAATCTGAAATAAAGTGGGATGGGAAGCGTGTCCTTCAGAACAAGGGTACAAATGCCCCTTTCGCTGCAGCGTGTGTGTACGTGTGGGTGCGTGAGTATGTTTGGGACGGGGGAGGGCGGGAGGGGACTGGGAAGGGTTTGAACAGCAACATTTTTTTTTTTTTATTTTTAATTTATTCTTCTAGAATGTGACAATTCCATGAACAGCCACATTGGGGAGGAAACTAACAAATTACTACAGATGCCTTAAACTATGCACAAAGCTAAGTGACCAAATTTGTTTTTGATTTGAAAAAATAGAAGAAAAAGTGCATTGTTTACGTATTCCTCCCTCTACTGAAACATTACCCACCTGATGGGTTTTTGATGGGAAAAGGAGAAAATGTTTTTTAGGACAAAATTAAAGGACTAATTTTAAACTTAAAACATTCCATTTTTGTAATTTGTTTTACATTGTTTTAAGTACAGTAAGCACAACTGTAATCTAGCTTGAGAAACTGGTGCTTTCTTTTAGTTCATTTGTATTTCCCTGTTATTATTGTAAAAGACTGTTTATTAATTCTGTTTACAGTTCGTTGCAACAGCCATTTTTGGGAGAGAGCTTCAGCGTAAAGCCATTTGTAAAGGCTTTGCCATATTCATTTTAATATGTGCCTGTTGCTGTTAACTTTTAATTAATAAAAAAAAATCTTTTCACATTATGCTCCTGTACATTTAAGTTACGACTGAGTCCAGCATTATGGCAAGGTAGCTAAGGTTGCAGTCAGCTTCCACTGTAAAACTAATCCAACTTCTGGATTTGAAAATATTAGTGAAAATATATTGCCTCTTGGAGCTTGGCCTTTCACTGTTTGAAAATCAAATCCTGACTTACCTGATCGTTTCCCTTCTAAAATTAAGTTGTTTATTATTCTTTCATGTTCCCTGAAGTAGTACCATTAATCTCAAAGTGGCCATGTTTAAAAGAAATAAATTTACGATGAAACCACTTTTTTTTTTGAACCTGCTTGAACTTCCTTCCTTTGCTGTCAGTGCAAGTTCTTGCTGTTGTCTGACTTCAACAGAGAAGGATGAAATGGGGTAAGGAGCTTTGGCTATACCCTGCAGAAACAGAAAAGCCTGATTTTAACATTGAAATTTTAAATCGAAAACCACAAGCTGTGGTTGGAGCTGGCAGAACAAAGAGGTAACGACTGCCTGGGAGTAACTTCCTACGGAGAGACTGCAGCTCAGCTTCCTTACGGCCGCTACAGATTTGTGGGGTGAAGTGTGGAAACGTACTGATTCCTCTTCGTTTTTCAATAAAATGTATGCCAAGCCTGCAGCTATTCACAAAACCACCGCTAAAATCAGTATCTGATGATGTCTTCTGCGACTCAGAGTGATTTAAAAATGTGACTTGGTTTAAAGACAGAGCCTCAATAGCAATATCGATTTTGCTACTTGTTACAGGCTCTCTTAATACGTAATTTTAATGAAAATTAAACTTAATGAATTTACAGTTACATATATAGAAATATTTTAATATACTATTTATAAACAACCTGTGATTCTTTAACATTGGGAAATCTTGCTGTCATCTGCTGTGACAGGAACCAGTACGGCTTGTCGAGGTACTGGAGTAAAACATGAGTAGTTTTGTTCTAAGCCACCTTTCCTGGAAAGGGGCTTCTGTCTTTTCCTACCAGACTGGATTTAGGACTGGTTCTAATCCACTGGTTAGTGTACGTGGAAGCTTCTGACATTTGACTGAATTTAAAAAAAAACACCAAACCAACCCCCAAATTAATGCCTTTTCCTGCACATGATGTCTAAAAATGCCTTCTACAACTCTACAATGAAGTTCAACATTCCTCCAGCTTAAAGCGTTTCCTGTGAGAGCCAAGCACCTACGTACACAAGGAGCGCACCTAATGCCCTACAACCGCTATCAGCTTGTCCCTGTGAGTCCAGAAGCGAGTTACGGGGTGAGGGGCCAGGTCCCCACCTTACGTGGTTTTAATTTCTGGATCTGCTCCCAAGGGGCCGCACTATTCACTCCCTCACGCAGACAGATGCAAACAGGGCTTGGGCTGTGCTGATGGTCTCTGCCCAGCCTGGATGGATGTCCTTAGCTGGAGGGCTTCTGCCGGACCTGTTCTTCTGTGGGCAGTGGCACTGCGTATGTAAAAGGTCTCAAGTAGAAAGATACAAATTAAGGTACAGAAAAGTATAAAATAAATTATTTGATGGCAGCTTTGTGATTTCATCTTCTGGTGCAGGAATGACGGCAGTTGTACATCATTGCTTGCCACGTGCTTTTGTGTTTCTGGGGTGCTGGGTACCTGCACCTCGCATCAGCAGTTCCAATGGACAGAGCTTGGTCTGGGTTTTTCTGATGCTTTAGCTGAGTTTAGTAGGTCAAGTGATACTCTAAATTGCACAAGCTCATGATTTCATTGGACTGAGTTACTTCATTTGAACTCTTTCTACATACATTATTGTCAATGTCAGACTTTCAAGAGAGATTTTTGCCTCTGAAAGAAGAAAACTTCGGCAGAGGTTTCCTGGACCAGCTGTTCCGAAGCTGTGGCCTTTTGGGAGGGGGATGATTGTGCCACACCAAGGGACTGTCAAGGGGACCCAGGGGATAGAGACACCGTTAAACCAGCACCTTCCCCATACGTCTGTGGTGAGGCATAAACTTCTCATTCCTGATCTTTTTTTTTTTAACCTGAATGTAACTGAATTAACAGCGCTGTGCTGTTCGATGACTTATTCTGGCGTTACTCCTGCTGCACAGCAAGGTAAATAATTCGGTCCTGAAGGAGACGCACGTCAGTCATCACTACGTCGATTTATAGTCACTGTAAGAGAATGTAAACTATACTTACGGTAGAGTACCACAGATCACATACACCGTGTTTATTTTAACTGCTTTTAATTTTATATAGTGGCAATAGAGCATTAAATACAAAACTTGAAACCAAAATTAACTTTCAAAAAGGTGTTTTAAAGGCATTTAAAAGAACACAAGGATTTAATGGCCTATCAGTAGGACTGATAAGGAAGTGACATTGTGTACATATTGGCACCATTTCAAGTTTCACACCAGAAAACATCCTCCTCAATTGTACAATCTCATTCCAGTTATAAACAGCAAAACTTCGGTCATCTTCAGTAACCTCGTCAGAGCCATTCAGCTGTCCTTTATTTAAGAAGTCCTGCTTTTTTCTTTTGGAGCTTCTGTTTTCTAGGAAGAGGCACTTGTACTTCTTCTGGCAGCCAGGTCAGCTTAGAACACCGAAATACCCAGGCTCAGCTTTTTCTACGCTTACTACAGGCAGAGCAAACCTGGGCTTGGTTTAAGCATGCAGCTAAATTGCAGCTCTCTGGTTCCCGAACAGCTTTTTTTCAACCTGAATTTTATTTGTAGCTTGAGCCCTTTCTACATCTGTGGCTGGAGACATGAGCTGAGGTGGGTGGTTAATGAACTACCTCCGTCTGGGTCTGGCAGCAAGTAGCTGCCACTGGGGGAAGGTCCTGAAAGGGCTTCCTTCCCCTGGAGAAGGGGTTGCCGGCAACAGCTGCTACCCTCTTGTCCCTGCAAACAGGACCCTGAGGGCTTGCGCAGTACCCAGCTGCCAGAAACCCATCCAGGGACCCAAGGCAGCTGGGGATACAAAGGTGTCCACGAGCTGAGATGAGCAATATAAATATACTTTTGACAACTTGCACCCCAGAGTACTCTCTACGTTTCCCCCCACCCTTATCTACACCACTTCTACGCTATTTACCACATACTCTGACGTTAATTATTTTACTCTGCTGCTATCTACTGGTTATTTCAAATTCATTGGACTACCTGTCCACTGAGGCTCCCGCAACACAATTTACTCACTTATGCACTCTTCACATCGGCCGCAGGATGATACAATAGGTTTTGCTCTCTTCGCCTTGCAAGCTCATTAGAAACAAACAAACAAAACCCCAAACCACCCTGCACAAAAATGTGCTACTACTTAAAATGTCTCATACCAGGTGACCTCTGCAGCAGATTTAAGTTTTCACTTACTTTCAGTAGGAAGCAGAATGCATTCAGGCATTCTTTGGGCTAAAAATTGGCTAAAATAAAGTTTAAAAGAAAGACTTTGACATGAAAAATTCCGTATCAAACTAAACATTGTAGTGCAAGTTACAGCTGGAGCTCAAATAACTGGTATTAACTTAAAGGTGTATCACTATCATTGTTGAACATGTACACAAAATTTTTAAGGTGGTCAGTTACGCACAAAGAATGTTGTATATATAACTTAGTGTTAATACTAAAACCACCACATAAGTATGAGTAGAAAGCCAGGTTTGAATACAAAATGTAATACCTGAGTATAATGGTCAAATTTATTCCCCTTGATAAATCACATATGAACATGTTTAGTGCCTCAATTCTACATTTCACATTAGGTTTTTCCTGTTGTTGTAAGAGACCACTCAGTACTAGTGCTATTTGCAACATAAAAGATTTCAGACACAACAGCTTAACGGTCTTTTCCGTACTGATCTTGCATGTGTTAAGATTTTTCAATTAAAGTCTTCATTTTTCCTGTAGACTTCAGCATGTGCGGTCCAAACTGAGAAGGAAACCAGAAACACGTTCAGATTGCTTTCAACAGAAACCTAGTTGAACTATTACCCCCTCCAAGTTGTAACTGAAACTAGAACTTGGGCAGAGAGAATTTCCTTCTTCTCTCCGTGTGGGTCTCACCCACTTCAGAGCCACAAAGTAAAGGGAAATGGTGTCGGTGATCACCTGAAATGGCTCCAGTGAGGCGGCTAACCATCTGCTGGAGCAGCTCTGACCAGAGGTAGTCAAATCTACCCCAGCAGAAGAAGAAAATAGATGCAGTTATCTCTAGAAGTTGACAACCAATTGCCCTAGCAATTTCACAGTATTGCTGGTCTTACTCTATCCTGCATTTTTGTGCAAGTCCTTTTTAAAACTATCATATGAGGATATTGTACAAGGACTGATCTAGCAAAGAAGTTACATACTGATAAGTAGGTTTATTAGGACAGAGGTTTCTTAGCTCATTATGGATCAACTTTCTATCGCATAACGAACAAAACCCTTCCATTTTCTTAGCTTTTGAGGACTCGATGATCCCTAATCTCAAAAGATGGACTGTAAATTTAAAAATGGGAAAATCGTGAAAAACCCATGTGCGAATAAAACATTGCCAACTTGTCTTCTTTTCCTTAAAGCCCCAGAGATGCTGGGGAAAAAAGTGATTCTTGAGGAATATCTAACCTTTTAGTTATGAAGAACAGCCTGAACATTATAGGAATGTACCTTAAAGGCCTACCCCAGAAGCCAAGTAAGTCAACTTAATAAGCTGAAGTACTCAGAAGTCCTGAGATTTGTGGCTTGAGAATCTTACTTTCCTCAGAACTTTGATCAGAGTGCAGCCAGCTTTTGGAGTTTTATGTGCATTTTTCCAAACACACAAAGGGAAGAATAACTCTACTGTTCTTCTCTGGTTCTACAGCACAAGGCTTCAAGGAGTGCTTGCTAACAAAACAGATCTATGCTAGTGTGTTTTTTAAGTAAGTGTATATTGCTAGAAACTTGCATCTTGAACTTCATTTGCCACTTAAAACCGCCTTACCTGCATTTCAAATCAATCTGAAATAAACTAGAAGCCATTAACTTGTACCGTGATGTGGATTTTAAATATAGTTTCATTTTAACATTCTCACACTATATAGAAACTGCTTTTATTTACTCAGCATTTCCAATTATTAGAAGAAACTCCCTATCCAGGAGGCATTCTGGACAATTTGCTTTCTGCATTCCTAGGAATAGCTGACAGGTTTCAGGATCTTGCTTCAAAATTTCACAGGCACTACCTGAATGGTTAAGGTTGGTAGTAACAGGCAAACTCAGTTCAGATTTGATTCTGGTACGAGCCCTTAGGAACTGAGTTTTCAGGATATCACATGCTCATGGCAACAGAAAAGATTATTGTTTAAAAAAGTAAGAAACCTGTTAACAGGGCTTTTTAAACTTATGGCCAAAAGAGTACACAGTCTTAAGACTTGATACTAAAAACATACGATTGCCACAAAACCCGGCATATCAGTAGTACTTCATAGGGTTTTGTGGATCGGGATGCTAACTTGTAGGTATTTGCATATGTTGACAGAAAGACATACGTTAGCTTTCATGACAATTTTATTGAAGTCCAAGCATGTGCTCAGAATCACGATACTCACCAGCACTACCTCAGTCTTTGTCTTTGTTTCAGTCTTTGGAATCGCTTTTTCTGTTTCACTTTGGCTATCATTTCGGTATCGATAAGCAAATTTCTTTTTGAGTGCTTCTGCTATTAATGCCGCAGGATCTGTAGGGTCAGGCACTTTAGATTTTGTAACTTCTGATGATCTAGAAAAGAAAATGAGCAGTATTAATATAGTCCAGAACAAAGCTGAGAATGCTTTTGCATTCTGCTTGTCAGATGCTACATCAGCATCTGTCTCACCTTGAAATAGTTCTGAGTCATAAAACCAAATCATTAATGCAAACGTTAAGACACATTGATATTTATTTGTATTTATTACCTTTTCACTGAGCGTAGTTTCACACTGTTCATGTCTTTGAGGATTTCTAGCATGTTTGGTATTTCAGGCTTCTTTGCCCCATTTTCTGTCAGATTCTGTCCAGAGTTCGTTTTTTTGTTTTTCCTTTCTTTAATGAGCTCAATTGCAGACATACTCTGTTGTAGACCTGGGGGAGGGAGTGGTGGTGGAGGAGGCGGTGGTGGAGGTGCAACAGGGACAGCAGCTGACGCAACTGGACTTGACCCAACTACAAATAAAACATGTGCTACACGTCAGTTTACTTGTAAATCCCCTTTATATCTCACAAATGCTCAGGGAAGAATATGACTACGGTAGCTTTAATTGCCTCCCCTCTGCCTTCTTTAGATTATCAGATAACTTCTTCATTCCTAAACCACCTAGACACAACTGAAAAGCCACATAAAAGTCCTTCTCAAAGAGCGAGAAGCATTCTTTTAATTTCCAGTTCAAATTCTAGATGCATTCATGTTTCTACTGCAATGGGATGGACGTCACAACATCTTTTAGTTATATTTTGCTCCTAATATTACTGGTTTTTCACTTTCTTCCAAGAGGCAGGTACTGAGCTGGAAGTCACATACAATCTGCCATGTCAGCAGTGTTTCTTCCTATTTATCATCACAAATCAGAAATTACCATGCAAGATTTTTAAATGTAGAGCACTAAAATAGTGCTTAAATTGAAGCTTATTCCAGCTCTCAGAGGTTAGGGATTTTTTAGGCCAGCTAACCATCTGTCTGAAGATCGAGATTCTCACAATAATCCTGATTTCAAGTTCCCTGCACTCTTTAGGTAAAAACTGATGTTTTAAATATAATAGCAGTAATAACTTGACAAGGAAATGAAGAAATCTCTGCTCAAATGTACCTTGAAAGAAATCAGATAAAACAGATCAAACCAGAATTTTGAGGCTTGGAGAATAAAGTGTGTAAATATACGTAAACAAGTCATACAGAGGTGTCTACTCTGGGTGCATGTAGGCATATACACAGTGTCATTACCATATTCGACCAGAAGAGGGAGGTAAAGTTGATCAAATCAAATCAAAATTTAATTTTCCTAATAAATAGACGTAAAGGGAAAACGATGAAAAATAGGTTATTAGTTATTTCACAAAACCCTCACAATCATTACAATTCAAGAGTGAAACCATGCGATCCTTAAAACTATTTCATAGTTTTGAATATGACCAGTGAAGGAAAAATAAAAGTAACTGCTCTCAGTTCCCAGACAAAAACTAAACAAGAGCATCTGAACAATCAGAATATGATTTCATACATAAACACAGGCAAAACTGTACTTTCTAAGTGACCTTAAGAAAGAGTGAAAACCGAATGGCTGTCATCTGCACTTGACAAGGGCCATCTCTCACTCACCTCTGGAGATGGTGGACTTGGAACTGGAAAGCAGGC